AAAGGTAACATAACAAAATACAAACATGTCAGGTTGGGTGAATCCCTTCCTTTTTTTCTATTTTCAAATTACATTTTCTCCATTTGGATTGCCTTCTTTGATGGAGTACTTATATTTGAAACATTCTATCAAGCATATTCTAGAACTGCACTATTCCAAGGTAGCCACCTGCAAGAAAGCTGCTTGGGCCAGAATGTAAGCCCACTCGCTGCACTGTCCAGCTCAGCTGACGCTTTTTTCACAGCAGGACCTTCTCAACAAGGGAGAGAGGTGTTGCTTTACAGCCTGGCGCAGCTGCTGCTCTTGTTGTGGGTCAGCAGCAGCTCACAGACAGGTGCCTGGAGCCCCAGTGTCCGCGGCAGATCGTAAATCATGCCGTGCCCGCCCCTGGGATGTGCTTGTGCTGCCGCTCAGTCCTATCTGACAACCCCAAGGACTGCAGCCCATCAGACTCCTCTGTCCTTGGAATTTTTCAGACAAGAATACTGGAGTGGGTTGCCATTTCCTCCTCCAAGGGATCTTCCCAACCCAGGGATCGAACCGGCATCTCCTGAGTGTCTGCTTGTGCAGATTCTTTACCGCTGAGCCTCTGGGCTAGCTGAGACCAAAGGCCTATGTGGAAGGACTTGGGGACACAGTTCTTCCTGGACCTGGCGGCACTGCCCCAGGGAGCCAAGGGCTCCGAATCCGATCGACCCCTGCTCACCCCACTGCCCGCCCCCAGGCTTCTCAAATCACTGAACCCCTCCATAGCTGCTGCTTGCGATCTGAACCCTATGGTCATCAGCTGTCAGAAGCAGAGAACCTGATTCCTAAGAATGGGGAGTCTCTCGGGGGATGAGAGAACAGAAGCGTGGCCCCGAGGGACTTCCCTCGCGGCCCAGTGGTTAGGACTCTGCATTTCCATTTCAGGGGACACAGGTTCGATCCCTAGTTGGGGAACTAGGATCCCACATGCCTCGCAGCCAAAAAAAAATAAAATAGAGGGATGTCCCTGGGCCATCTACCCTTAAGCCCTACCCATCCTCATTCAGACCTCTTAAGAACATAAGAGGTGGGATTTCCCTGGTGGTTCAGCGGTTAAGAATTTGCCCTGCAATGCAGGGGACACAGGTTCAATCCCTGGTAGGGGAACAAAGATCCCACATGCCACAACTAGAGAGTCCATGTACCGAAAGGAGAGATCTATGTGCTACAGCTAAGACCTGATGCAGCTAGATAAGTTGTGTGTGTTTTTTTTTAAATTTAATTGAAGAGGTGCGTTTCTTCTGAGCTCTGACATGAGACTGGCCACAGAGGGCTTCTGCTAGGGCACCTCTCTGAGTCACCAGCCCGCTCCTCTTCCACCTCACCCTCTCACCCCAGGTGGAGGTTCGGAAGGTCCAGGCCAACGTGGAGAACCAGATGCTGATCATCACCTCTGACAGCCAGAAGCACCGGGGCCAGGTGGCTTTTCTCTCGGTAAGCTGGGCCCATCGCCACCTCCTGCCCAGGCTTCGCCAGCGCCCTGCTTCAGGCCGAGGGGGCCTCTCAAGGGCTTGGAGTGGATGGCATGGGGCCAGGCAAACAGAGAGGTGATGCCTTGGCCAGCTCTGGGCCCTCACAGGGAGGGCAAGGAGGTGGGGCTCAAAGACACCTCTCTGTCACTGCCCCCTCCCCACCCCTGCCGCCAGAAATTGATCCAGACAACTCGGGAAGAGGTGAACGCCTGCTTCTCAGAGATCATCCAGGAGATCAAACAGATGCAGATGAAGGTGCTGGATTTCGTGGAGAAAGAGGAGGCTGCCGCCCTGGGGAAGCTGGGTGGCTCCATCCAGCAGAGTCACAACCGGCTCCTGAAGCTCGAGGGGGACAGCATCTGGCTCCGCAGCCTGCTCGCCAACCGCAGTGACCAGCAGTTTCTGCAGGCAAGGCCCCTCCCTACCCCCACCGCCCAGGCCCAGTGCAACGTCCACTGGGCTGCAGGGGCTTTGACAGCCCTAATTCCGATGTCCAAATAAGACAGGAGGAGGGGAGAAAGCTGTCCGGGTTTGAACATGGGCAGCTTTCCCGCCTGCCTCCTGGTTCTGGGGAATCGCTAAGCCCCTGGCCCTTGCTTGGGGCCTGGCTAACAAGTGGTCCTGCCAGCCCCTCCCTGCCTGCAGGAGTTGCCCAGGCTGAAGCACTTCCCTGCCTGCATGGAGCCCCTGATGGGTACCAACTGTGAGGAGAAGCAGAGCTTCCTCCAATTGCCAGAGACCTTGACGGAGCTCCGGACCCGGCTGGTGGACATGGGTCTCAGCTTCATCAACCAGCTCCTCCTGAAGGGTGAGTTAGAGCCTGCTTGCCTGGGGCGGCTGGAGACCCTCCTGCCTTCTGGGGATGGGCTGCCCCGAGGGCAGCGGTTGGGATTCGGGCACTTGTAAGAGAGCACGGCCTGTCTGTGTGCACCTTCACCAGGTGACTCAACCTCCTGAGAGCCCATGCCTCTCTCTGGAAGGACACTGGGCTGTGGAAGTGTCCTCAGCAAAGCCCCTCTATCTTCCCCAGGCATTAAGATGAACTCCTATGAGGTGCTGCCCCCAGATGTGGACAGGAAAACCCTTCTCAAGTGTGAGTCCTCAGTCCTGGGGTCCAGCCCCAGGGGCGGGAAGGAATGGAAGAGGGTCCTTGGTTGCCTCGACCGACCCAGCCCCACCTCCATTCAGACCAGGGCTCCAGAAAGATGCCAGGTCTCTCCTGCCCTGACCTTGTACTCTGGACTGGAGACCTCAGAGGGCCTGAGACTCCACGGGCCTGAGAGGAAGGGGAGAAGGCTGTCCTGTCCCACGCCCATGGGTGGCAGGGCCTCGACCGCTACCCAGAGGCCGGCTCTGCAGCCCTCTGCGCCCCTGATGTGGCTCAGCCTCTGCCCTTGGCTGGGTGCCTGCCGACCTCCCCTGGACTTTAGCCAAGCTAGCGTGGGTGGCCCTGTCCATTTCTTCTACAGTCGGTCTCCCTTTTCAGTTAATGTCCTTGCAGCCCCTCTCCCAGGCTGGGCGAGGGACCAAGTGACTCTCTAAGAAATCACCGGTGATGTCTCTGAGGTCTCCAGGGTCACGGCTGATGAACCCTTTGATGACCCCTTCTGAGCGACCTCCTCCAGGAGCCCCTGACACTCCCGCAGCCCCACCCCGTCTTGTGTCCTGAACAAGCAGAAAGGGGGATCATGTTAGGGTTTGGTGGGGGAGGGCAGATAGGGGGACGCTTGGTCGTCCACCTCTCTAGGAAGGCAGGCCTTTGGACAGCACCCAGCCAGACAATGTCCACCCCTGCGAACCAGAGTTGAAAACTTAAGAGAGGGTAATGGAGGGGCCACTCTTGGGAGCTGGGGGTGGAAGCACTTGGTGACTTTTGTGCCAAAGCTGTGAGCTTCGGCCCTCCCCTCTCCAGACCTCCAGCGCTCTGCCCCTGGGGCCTGCGGACCCTAGCCCCCTTTCCCATACCCCCTCGGCCCAGGTTACTGCAACCTGAACTTCGACCCCACGACGGCCAGCGAGGAGCTCTTCCTGTTCAAGGAGACCCACTCGGTGCTGAACCTGGGCATCCTCCTGGAGCCCTTCGCGGCAGGCAGCCTCTTCCCGGGCTTCAAGCAGTGGCCGCAGGTGCTGTGCTCGCGGGGCCTGGCCGAGGGCCGCCACTACTGGGAGGCCGACGTGTCCAACTCGTGGGTGTGCCTGGGTGTCACCTACCGCCGCAGCCCCCCGCTCGGTGGCCGCCCGCGCCGCAACATCGTCTACCTGCTGGGCCGCAACCCCTACTCGTGGTGCCTGGAGTGGGACTCGCTCAAGTTCTCCGTGTGGCACAACAACACGCAGACGGTGCTGCACGGCGGCTACCACCGCACGCTGGGCGTGGCGCTCGACTGCGCGGCCGGCTGCCTCTCCTTCTACGGCGTGGCGGGCGGCGTGAGCCTCCTCTACCGCTTCCTCGCCTCCTTCCTGGAGCCGCTCTACCCCGCCGTCATGGTCAGCAGCGGCGCCTCGGTCACGCTCAAGCAGCGCCCGTCCGAGGCCTAGGCCAATAAAGCTGGACTCGAGCGCTGGCTGCGCCCGCGGGGAGGGGCGCGCCAGGGAGGGTGGCCGGCCCGAGGAGTCCCCTGACCCGGGGTGGAGGGGCAGGCGGCGAACCCGCCTCCTGACCCGCTGCCTGGATTTCACCAGCGACGACCACCCAGGGGTCCCGGGAGGTCCTGGGGATCCCCGAAGACAGGCCGATCCTACCGTCACCACTGTCACAGGAGAAGGGGCTCTGAACCGGGCTGGCGATCGCCTGGGACTGGGGACAGCCCGGTGGCCTCCAGAGGGGGGATTCCTGACCAGGATGCTCGGCCTCTCCCACCCGTGAGCTCCCAAGCCCCGTCGGAGGGTCTCTGGGCTGGTCCTGCCCCAGGTTGCCCAGGAGTGGGCGGGGCTTGGGCCAGGTGACTCCTCCCCCGCAGGTGGCCAGACGGAGAGTCGGCACCTGACCCGTGGGGGTAGAGGTGTTCTGAGTTACTGGCTTAATTGGAGGCTAGGAAGTTAAGCCGGGGAATCATGACTGTGCCAGACCTCCCTCCCCAAAAGGCTGAGGGCCTCGGTTCTCAGGCCGGGCTGGGGCCCCCATTCCTCTGCCCAGCAAGAGTTTTTCTCACAGGGCTGGTGTTTTGCAACTTAGGAACCTGTGGAACTGAAGCTCTATGGGTGGGTGAACCTTAGACATCCTGCACCCTCCGCAGCGTGCCTGGAAGCTGCTCTCCACACCCCCCAGACTTAAGCCCCCTGCACTCAGCTCCCCTGGGTAGTACTGCCCGGAAGCCAAGGGGCTTCATTCACATCCAGGTCTCTTCCATCTGACCTGCCCAGCCAGACGGTGTCGAAGTCACAGGGAGAGGCTGGGCCCTGCCCTCCGACCCCGGCAGGTGTGACCAGGGACTCGGCCCCTCTAGGGAAGCGGCCTGGACATTTCCAGCCTTGACCAGTCACTTGTTCATATAGCTTCTCATGCGAGGGGCCCTGGTGGGGTTAATGATTGGCTCAGAAGAGGAAATGAGACAGTCACGGGGGAGAAAACTCCCTGGGGCAACGAGGTCCAGAACCAGGACGTGCCTGAATTCCATCCCCCCCTGGCCTGTCTCCAGAGACGTCAGTGACCCTCCCCTCGTTTCTCACTCTGGGGCCTGGCAGGGGGGCCGATTAGCAGGTGGAAGGTGCGCTCAGATGGCCTCACAGGGCGGGACACCCTTTGGCTGCCCTGAGCCTGGGCTGTGTTTCTGTTTACCTTCCTCCCTGGAGGCTCCACTCAGCACCAGTCCAGTAACTTCCATTCCTCACCAGTACTACTGGTATGGACGGGTAGAAATGAAACTTAAACCTTTTCCCTTTGGGGAAAAAGCTTGCATGCCAATGTGCTTAAATCTTGCCTCCCCACTTACCCAAATCAGCCCATGGACTGAGGTCAGGAAAGGCTGAGAGGGACTTCCCTGGCGGTCCAGTGGCTAAGACTCTGAGCTCCCAATGCAGAGGGCCCAAGTTCAACCCCTGATCGGGGAACTAGAACCCACGGGCAGCAACTAAAGATTCCTCGACAAAGATCAAAGGTGCTGCAACTAGGGCCCCTCGCAGCCAAATAATTTTTTAAATGCTGAGAAGGTAAAAAGCAGGACCCAAGGAGACAGCACGGATATGAGTCCTTCCCCACAGTGGAGCCGATGGAGGGGCCTCCCTCAGCTCCTCCAGGCTCTGAAGGAGCCTTCACGTGGTGTGTGATGCTGGAGCCTGATATCCTCAGGCACACGCTGGTGTGAAACCCACATCAAAGGCATGTTACTTGTCCACTTAAACAGCTCCCCACCTTCGTAAACCCCTGGGGGGACACAATGGTAGTCCTGGGAGGGAGCGGTCATCAGTTGCTCGCCAGTATTTCAGAAAGCCAAACAGCTAGCAGGCCTGTGTGTCAGTGAGGCTGATCAGGAAACCAAAATGTTGGGGTTCTTGGCTCAGCATTTGCCTCCTGGGCGAATATATCATAGCGGGTGATTCAGGGTGCAGGATCAGCCAGAGCTCTTCCATAATCCACATGGGTGTGCCCTGGCCTCAGCCTTTCCCCGACTGTGAAGAGACCAGGGGAGGCACTGTCCCTAGACTGCCACCCACATTCTTCTCATGCCTACCTGCTCCTGCCTTAACGAATTTTTTTTTTTTAATGCAAATCCAGACTGGCTGTAAACTAATCTTCCCCAAGGGTTATTTCACTTAAAAAATTCCTGTATCATTTCTCACAAGAAGACTATGTTTCTGTATTACTTGGGCAATTTTAAAAATATATTTGCATATTCGATAAAAGTAATTTTGCTTTAATTTAACAAACACATAATACCTACTGCACACCAGGCCATGTTCATAGAAAATGAAATGTTGGTGGCAAAACTGAGCTAATTTAAAAACAACCCCCACCCTATGCAGGAGGAAACTGAGGATAAGAAGTGCCTTGTTCAAGATCATGAAGGTACATGAATTGGCGAGCCAGATTCAGACCCAGACGGTCTGCTTTTTCAGTCACTATGCTACACCACCTTTCCAATAGCACATTGTAGAAAATTTACATAATATAGAAACGCAAAAGAAAATAAAATATTCTGGAGCTTCTCTGCTGGCTTAGTGGTAAAGAATCTGCCTGCCAACACAAGGGACCCAGGTTCCATCCCTGATTGGGAAAACCCCACATTCCAAGGGACGACTAAGCCATGTGCCACAACTGCTGAGCCCAAGCACTCCAGGGCGCATGACCCGAAACTACCAAGCCCGCCCACACTAGAGACCATGTTCTGCAATAAAAGAATTCACCACAGTGAGAAACCCTTGCCCCACAACTAGACAGTAAACCCGCCCCCGCCCCGTTCTCCACAACTAGAGAAAGCCGGAGCACAGCAAGGAAGACCCGGCACAGCCAAAGGTAAATCTTTTTTCTTTTAAAAAAGATATTCCTACCATAATCCTTACCACCTCCCTGCAGAGATAACCTCTCCTGGAGAATTTCCTTGCAGGCTTTTGTTATAAAGATGTAGATGTTGTAGCTAGAACACACAACTATCATGCATCTTCCAAAGTTACTTTCAAAACATAACATGACATAATATTACATCCTACACATATGTCCTACAGCTTTGTCTTATCTTTTACTCCTTCCCTGATTCCCTCTAGAGGTGGGTGGCAAGTGGCGGCCCAGCCGAAGTCACAGATGTTTCTTCCTGGATGTTACCAAAAGTTTGACCCAAACTCATGGGGTGGGAGGGTGAAAGCACGGAGCTGAAGAATGCTGGTAGCAGCAAATGTTTCCGTCCGTCTCTTCGTCCCATCGCACAGGTGAGGACAGAGCAGGAAGCAGGACCAGCTGGCAGGAGTCTCAAGAAGGAGTCTTAACTCTTCCCTCCCCCAGGAGAGGGTGTGCGCAGGCTGGAGGTGGAAGGGAGGGGATGTTTGTGGGAGCCTCTGGCAGAGGCCCTGCCTGTAATGCAGTAGCTACCGGACGGCTGTCAGGAGCATCTCCCCTAAACCAGCATAAGTACAAACCCTGCAGTTTTCTGTGAGAAAGGCAATCTGTTGGGGACCTGGACTGGGTCCCACCAGCTCTCCAGAGGTAAGCCGGGCTTCCCTGGTGGTTCAGTGGTAAAGAATCTGCCTGCCAATGCAGGAGACACAGGTTCGATCCCTGGTCAGGGAAGATCCCACGTGCCACGGAGCAACTAAGCCCATCCATCACAACTATTGAGCCTGTGCTCTAGAACCTGGGAATCCAAACTACTGCAGCCTGCCAGCTAGGACCCATGCTCCACAAGAGAAGCCACCACAATGAGAAACCCATGCATGACAACAAAGGAGCCCTCGCTCACCGTAACGAGGGAAAAGCCCGCGTGGCAACGGAGACCCAGCACAGCCAAAAATAAATAAATAAAATATAAAAATAAAAAACAAAGAGGCAAACCATCTCCAGCCCTCCCTGCGGGACCCAACCCCATCCCCACTCCCACCCCAGCTCCTTCCCTCAAACATCAGTGTCCAGTAGTCTTACGGACTGCCTCACCAGCCCCTGCTCCATTATACTCTCCAACGCGATTCACCTCCCGCCCTTTGCTCCTGCCATCCCCTCTGCTGGGAGCATGCTTCCACCCTCACCCCCTTCCTTATTCTTCCTCCTCATGACTTCTTTTTTTTGGGGGGGGCAGAGCCCCACAGCATGTGGGATCTTAGTTCCCCAACGAGGAAGTCCGTCAACTGAGTCTTAATGACTAAGGAGGAGAAAGTAACAAGTGATGAGAAGGAGGGACTTCTCTGGTGGTCTGATGGCTAAGACTCTGAACTCCTAATGCAGGGGACTCAGGTTCCATCCCTGGTCAATGAAATAGATCCCACATAACGCAACTAAAAATCCTGAATACTGCAGCTAAGACCCAGTGCAGCCAAAAAACAAAAACAAAACCCGAGGAATCACTTTAAAAAAAAAAAAACTAAGATACATTTTGCCCCAGGAAGCCACTCGCAAACCCTCTTCTCCCTAAGCCAGGTGGGCATTCCCCTCTCCTGCCATCACCTTCTACATGCGTCCCTCCCGGCACCCACCTTGTTTCATGTGGGAATTCATCAGACCAGCTTCAGGCTGGGTATGTCGTATCGGTCTCTCTTGCTTAGCACATGCCTGCCACATGTGAAAGTGTGAAAGTAACTCAGTCATGTCCAACTCTCTGTAACCCCATGGACTGTAGCCTGCCAGACTCCTCTGTCCATGAGATTCTCCAGGCAAGGACACTGGAGTGTATTGCATTCTCCAGGAAATCTTCCTGACCCAGGGATTGAACCTGGGTCTCCACTGCAGGAAGATTCTTTACCATCTGAGCCAGCGCTTAATTGATATTGACCTAAGGACTGAAGGAACACTTCTGGTGGTCAGAGGGGGGAAGGCCACCTAGATCCTTTCCTGGGTCAGGCTCGGCTGGCTGGGTGCAAATGGCCTAGGAAGGGCTGCTCACCTGGTTCCTTCTTCCTTTGCATCCTTTTCTCCCTCCTGAAGCCAGGTCCATGTGCCCACCGCATCCAGATAGATGCAAAGGACCTGTGTATTCCACTCTGGTTTCCATCTCGACCTCCCATCTAGCCTGAAGATACTTCGAGGCTGAGGGCCCTCCATCAGGTGTATGAGGGGAGAGACACAGAACTCTCTAGCCTCTGTTTCCTGATCTGTAGGAAGGCATGGATTGAGAATCACTTGTATTTGCTGAAGATTATACAACTCCCAGGGCTTCTCAAACCAGACGGTTGGAAAACATGGTGCATTTCAGGTAGAGCCAAGACTAGGATGAAGCCAGTGAGACCCTCATCAGGGGCTCAGCATTTAAGTGCATGCATGTGCGCTCAGTTGCTCAGTTGCCCAACTCTGTGTGACCCAATGGACTGTAGCCCGCCAGGCTTCTCTATCTGTGGGATTTTCCTGGCAAGAGTATTGGAGTGGGTTACCATTTCCTTTTCCAGGGGAACTTCCCAACCCAAGGATTGAACCCATGTCTCCTGAATTAGCAGGTGGATTCTTTACCACTGAGCCACCTGGGAATCCTTCAGGATTTAAGGGGAGGAGCAAAAAAACCCAGGAAACAAGATAAATAATATTTAAGGCAATATTTCACCAAATCAAACTTAAAGCAAAAATCCATGATGGATAGAATTGTAAATAAAGACTCATCTTTTGGGAATTCCCCAGCAGTCTAGTGGTTAAGACTTTGCTCTTTCACTGCCAAAGGCATGGGTTCAGTCCCTGATAAGGGAACTAGGATCCTGCAAGCTGGGCAGCATGGCCTAGAAGAAGGAAAAAAGGACGCATTTTTAATGACCTGACCCATTGCTTGTACTACCTGCCACGTACCCCTTGCACTAGTCCCAGCCCTGATTCCAACAAAATTTTACTCATGAAACCATTGACCACTCCACTGGTACTCTTTTTTTTTTTAAAGGCTGCTCTGTGTGGCATATGGGATCTTAGTTCCCTGATTAGGGATCGAACTCATTGCTGCATTGGGAGCTCGGAGTCTTAACCACTGGACCACCAGGGAAGTCCCCATTGGCCATACATTATTGGTCTGATTTTCTAAAAATGTTACCTTTAAATTATTATTAGATTATTATGTATGTATTTTAAGAATTATTTTTGTATTTATACTTTTGGCTGCGCTGGGGCTTTGTCACTGCACACAGGCTTTCTCTAGTTGCAGCAAGCAGGGACTACTCTAGCTGTCATGCATGGGCTTCTCATTGAGATGGCTTCTCTTGGTGCTCAGCGGAGGCTCGCAGGCTTAGCTGTCCTGCGGCATGTGGGATCTTCCCGGTCCAGGGGTCGAACATGTGTCCCCTGCGTTGGCAAGCAGATTCTTCACCACTGGATCACCAGGGAAGTTCTTATTATTTATCTTGTTTACTGAGTTTTGCTGGTGTCCCTGTAAATTTTGAATTCCAGGCAAGTGCTTCTTCACTCATCTCACCCCAGACAGGGGTGTCACATGTCCAGAATTTAGTAGCTGAACCAGAGGGAGATGGCATTGATGCCAACTGTCCTGTGAGCTCAGAACAATCCATGGCTAATTCATTTCAATGTATGACAAAAACCACTGCAATGATGTAAAGTAATTAGCCTCCAACTAATAAAACAAATTCACAGACAAAAAAAAAAGAACAATCACGCCCAAGTGCCTACAATGCCCCCGTTGTCAGTAATGTGTATGTACACTGATGCTTCAGGTGAAAATCTGAATAAGCTAAGGGACAGGCTTTGAGGGGCCTTGTGGCCACACCAGGGGCAGTGGGTGCTGGTGTTAATGGCAAGCTCTGGCTGATGTTGGGCTTCAGGGTCACTGGGGCACACAAGTGAAGGTGCCAGGTTGGATATCTGGGCTGAACATAGAACATGTGGAGGGGTCAGTATAAAGGTGGTGGTGGGAGCTAGAGTTGGGGCGTGAGGAGAGGAGGGTGAAAGTCAGAGCCTGTGGGACTCTGCCATCCAAAGGTCAAGTGCAGGCACTTCGCTGGCGGCCCAGTGGCTAAGATGCTACACTTCCTGTGCAGGGTGCTTGGGTTGGATCCCTGGTCAGGAACGTAGATCCCACGTGCCACAACTGAAGATCCTGCATGCTGCAACTAAGACCCGGCACAGCCAAAACAAATGAATGAATAAATATTTTAAAAAGGAGCTCTTTCCACCGTCTTTCTGTGCTGCCAGAATGGTGCTCATGAATGTCCTGACTGATGTGCTCAAGTGTATCAGCAATACCAAAAAGAGAAGCAAACGCCAGGTGCTTGTTAGGCCATGCTCCAAAGTCATCATCAGGTTTCTAATTGTGATGATGAAGCATGGTTACACTGGCGAATTTGACATCACTGATGATCATAGGCTGGGAAAGTTATTGTGAACCTCACAGGCAGGCTGAATGAGTGTGGAGTGATCAGCCCCAGATTTGATGTGCACCTCAAAAATCTAGAAGAATGGCAGAATAACCTGCTCCCATCTCGTCAGTTTGGTTTCATTGTCCTGACAACCTCAGCTGGCATCACGGACTGTGAAGAAGCAAGACAAAAATGTACAGGAGGAAAAAAAAAAATCCTTGGATTCTTCTTCTAGGGATGGACTGTATACAAATAAAATGCCTCAGAGGGAAATAAGAAAGACAGAGCAGTGCCCTGGTGGTCCAGTGGTTAAGACGCCATGCTTCCAACGCAGGGGGTGTGGGTTCGAACACTGGTCGGGAAACTACGATCCCATGTGGTATTCAATGCATCCAAACACACAGACAAACAGAAACAAAGGCCAAGAGCAAACATCACAGGTGGCCAGAGACACTAGAGGAAGCCCAGGAGGGAGTGACGACGTTCCACAAACCAGAGAAAGAGATGATTTCAAAGAGGGAGGGACCAGTGTGGTCTGATGCTTCAGGCAGATCAGGACTAGACGTGCTCATTGGATGTGAGCTCATGGGGTGGGAATGGTGAGTGGGGCAGAAGTTTGCCTTGGAGAAAGAAGGGGGAGTGGAGGCGTCAGGCTATGGAGGGGTGGGGGCGGGAGCCTGAGGCGGGTATCAAGAGAAGGAGGGT